CCATATCGTTGCAATGACGAAATTGATGGTATAGGTACTAATAATCAATCTACTCCTTCTTATATCTTGGTGATTGTGATGAATATTTTTAACTCTGCACCTCCACATGACGCAGTCATGATCATCGCTATTATACAAAATGTACTCTCCATGATTGCTCTATAAATGACCTACTGCCATTTATACAGAAGACGTTGGGTATTCATTACATTCGCACAAAGCTTTATTCACTACCCCTTTCAAAAATTCATCCTCTGTACAACTTACCCTATATTTGGAAACCACTGTTAAATATCCCCATTCAAAACCAATACAAACTTATAGCTTCCATCAAAGATATTGCCAGTCACAGACTTTTCAGACTGGCTCGCATTTGAAAAGATGAAACAGAGAAAAGATCCTTTCTAAAACTTTCCTATGCCATCAAAGGTCTTCAACACAGATGCCATCAACTAGGGCAATATCCTTCATCGTAAATTACATCACTCGAAAACACCTCCCTATTTTAGGCAGTCTGTTACCTATCATCTCTTTAACCTTTACCAAACCAATAAAGACTAAAATTTTCAATTACAAACATGTGTTGCAGGATCTCAATATTGACGACTTCAAGTCTAAACCTCCAAATTGCACCCGCACTAGTTCCCCATTAATATATTATTCGGTTGGCCATGTTATAACTGGTGACCTGAATATTGTCAATAATACCTCTCTGCAAAATGTGTTATCCAAAGGCCTGAAATATCGTACCCATCAATTGGAAACACAATTTAAAAACACTGATAGATTCAATCGAGAATTAAGCCAGGCAATGGAAAAAAGAAGATGTAGATAATCTTTCCAAAAGGTTTAACGCTGTGAGGTCATTCATACATATTAGAATTTAATAAAAATGCTCCGCAGGGCGCAGCTTGATACGACCGCAGAGGTCGAACCCTGAACAGTTGGGGCAAGTATGGACACAACATTCAAGCTTGATACAGCTCTGAATTTGGATTGTGATTAAATATTTGACACAGCATAGGTTTCTGACACAGAATGAATGTGGTCTAAGAACTTAAAAATTTTAAATTGGACATTCACCTATTATGGTCCAATATCCAAAATCTAAATACATGGTTAGATTCAGCATATCAAAGAACCCCAAGAATTCAATTTTTGATGAGATCAAACAAAGTTTTATTTTAGACCCTTTTGACCTCAATGTGGACAAAGTTGATAACGGGGCCCAAAAATCAAAAATCTAAATACATGGTTAGATTCAGCATATCAAAGAACCCCATATATTCAATTTTTGTTGAAATCAAACAAAGTTTAATTTTGGACCCCGATTTGGACCAACTTGAAAACTGGGCCGATAATCAAAAATCTAAATACATGTTTAGATTCAGCATATCAAAGAACCCTAAAAATTCAATTTTTGTTAAAATCAAACTAAGTTTAATTTTGGACCCTTTGGACCTTAATGTAGACCAATTTGAAAACGGAACCAAAAATTAAGAATCTAAATACACGGTTAGATTCGGCATATCAAAGAACCCCAATAATTCAATTTTTGATGAACTCAAACAAAGTTAAATTTTGGACTCTTTGGACCTCAATGTGGACCAATTAAAAAACGGGGCCCAAAATCCAAAAACTTAATACACGGTTAGATTCAGCATATTAAAGAACCCCAAGAATTCAAGAATAAAACCCCATTGAAATTGATCAAGAAATAAGCAATTTATACGAAGTATCTTCTTTTGCGCAATACTGTGCAATTGAAGATTTCTTGCTATTGTGCAATACTGTGGAATTGAAAATTTCTTGCTATTGCACAATACTTATTATATAATAATTTACACATCCTGTTTAGTGTGTATCTCCTACCATATCATTATTATTTGCTTTTAAATATAAAGCAGAAATAACCAACTTAAAATGGAAAATTTTAAAAGAAAAAAAAAGGAAAAAAAGAAAAAAAAAGAAAAAAAAAATCCCCCCCCCCCCCCCCCAATTTTTTGAACACCCTTATGATTCATAACCCCCAAAATCAATCCCAACCTTCCTTTCGTGGTATTGAACCTTATGGTAAAATTTCATGGAGATCCATTCACTTAAACTAAAGTTAGAGTGCGAAAACCAATGTGTCTTCGGACAACGCAGGACGACGACGACAACGACGACGCCAACGTCATACCAATATACGACCAAAAATTTTCAATTTTTGCGGTTGTATAAAAACGCAACTATGAATACACATGCTACATCAATCTTTAAAGACCTGAATGTTGCTAAGTACCTGTTCTACCACCATGACAAATATGTTTTTGTACCGGCAGATAAAGCCCCAAATATCATTGTTTTTGTGTGTAAATCACATTACATAAAATGCTTGATAATGGAATAATGGAATAAGGTATTGACAATTCAATTGGATAATCTTAGGTCTGTTCTACATGTATGTTCCTTTGGGATATCAATAAAAGATGAAGAACTAGATCTTCCTTCACTGTATTGGATACATAAATTATTTAAGTGTCATTAAAAACAACGAGATATTGCTAGGTCTTCCAAGTGCTCCACCAAACCTCTTTCTAAATCATTGACATCAATCTTATACATCAAAGCTGTGCTTCAGAATTATTCTGAAACTACCTACTCTAGGGCCGGTTGTGAATCAGATGTGGATACTAAAAAAATACAAAGATCTGTTAGAGAACATACAATTTAAGTCTCTTTCCTCTTGCAATAGTATTTAAACATTTAACTTTTCTACCCTTTACAGTTTACATTAATTTTCGATTACTGTCAATTAATTGCTAAAAAATTTTAAACAAAAATAACTCGAAAGTTCAACACAATTGTGCTGGTTCAAGGTATTTAAAGTGGAAATTTAGAGCTTTACAAAAGCATCCTTTAAAGCATTGTTACCAAATGTTATGTTGACACTTGTTTTCTATATGGATGTTTGTGTTGAGGATCATTTTAGTCTTCAAATTTTTGAAATATGGGTTTTCAACAGAGAGTGATGATAAAGTTCTTGCAATGACATGGAACAATCAGAGACATATTATACATTTTATATGTCTCTGGACCAATGCATCAATTCTTTTTATTTTAGGTTACTTGCTCCATATTTTGTTCAACTTATGAATTTGACTACACCTTTAGTATCTTCAGTCTCTCTTTTAGTATATGTGCTAACACCCCACATAAATATAAAGTTCTACCTTGAAAACTGTAGGTTTAGTTTGCCCAACAAACCATATACATGTACATGTAACCTGTATGAGATGGACAGATGGACAGACAAGGTTAACACAATATTCCCCCATTGGGCCCACTTTTTTTTGCAGGAGCATAAAAATGCAAAAAATGAACTATGTTGGTTGATTGGCAGGAACAAAAAAACAAAACCTTTATACTAGATACCCTTAGGCAAAGTTCAGTTGAAATTGGTCATGTGGTTAAAGAAGAGAAGATTTTTTGTAAAAAGCTCTATAGGACCATTTGAGCTGAAGAAAAACCGGATATTTTTTTAAGATAACTAAGGGACATAACTCTAGAGTGCTATTGAACTAACTAAGATTAATTGATCAATTGATTGGTGTTAAATGCCACTTTCAGCACTATTGTGCTATTTCATGGCAATCAGTTTTTATTGGTGAAGGAAGCCTGAGTGCCCGGAGAGAACCACCGATCTTAGGTAGGAATACTGACAATCTTAAGTCAATTAAGATTGCAGTCGAACGCACCTGCCACATGGGGGATTCGAACTTACAACCTCAGTGTTGACAGGCTAGTGATACCGTAGTTTGGCTACTTAGACCACTAAGAATAAAATGCCATATAGATTTGTGCCTTCCTAAAAGCCAAACTCAGTGTTCCAAGAAAAAATCTTGTTATATATAATAAATTTTACTCTTATGGACACATGCAAGAGGATTCTTCCTTGATTTGTATTGTATGGGTCATTAGGGGAAAAAATCAAAGAATTGTTTTCAACAAAATAAAATTCAAACAAGCATTCTGAGAGTATTGCATGGCAATACATAGTCCCCTACCGGTTAAAAATTCATTATACTGGAACAAAATGCTAACTTGTTCTATAACTTGTCATGGTGTAAACAAATAGAAAATATCAAGTCAATCAATATCTTCAAGCATGACTAAAAACAGTGTGGAAAACTGTATGTGAGAGAATTTTTTCAAGTCCAAGGACCATAACTCTGCACAAAATTATCAGACAGAAACAAAAATTTGAACTTGATCTGTAACTTGTCATGATAAAACTATATACCAATTGTCAATCAATATCTTCAAGCATGATGAAAAAAAGTGTGGAAAACCTATAACACTCTAACATTAGATATGATGTAATACAATGTATATCTATTTTCAAATTACAATCAAATATAATTAATAGTTCCAAATATTTTTTTCTTTCATTTGTCACAAACTAATATAGATTTGTAACTTATCTATAAAATGTCAACAACTTTTATCTACACAATGTAATGTAATGAAATATATACTTTAATAAAAATAGATTATTATCTAATTAAAGGATTTAACTTAATAAAAAAAAAATATATATATATACATGTAGCATTTAGAAAATTAGTTTATACAAAATAACATATAAACCTGCAACAAAATTCCTCAAACAATTTACCAAAGAATGTCTTTTAAAAAATGAGTTATCTCCCTTTGTACAGATATATGGTTTAACATAGTACTCTTACATTAGTTATGGATTTTTTTTATGGACCATAACTCTGGACTAAATCATCAGACCGGAACAAAATTCGAACTTGATCTATAACTTGTCATGATAAAACTATATACCAAATATCAAATCAATATCTTCAAGATGGAAGAAAAAAAGTGTGGAAAGCTGAGTTGCCGGACTGACGGATGGACAGACGGACGGACAGACGGACAGAGTGCAAACCTAAAGTCCCCTTCGACTTCGTCGGTAGGGGACTAAAACAAAGACTAGTACAAAAAAATACCTGAGCCATGGATGGAATCCACATGAACAATAGATGATCCACTGTTAGATGATGGAGGGTTCTCTGTTATTTTTCCACCCTTATTTGATAAAACAGAGGAAGTACTAGAATGTCTGGAATGTCGAGCACTACTTGTTGGTGTCACTTTCTTCTTAGAAGTATCTAATGGTTCACTGCTGTTTAGAAAATCGAACAATGCTTCATCATTATCTACTTTTTTCTTGGTCCCAGACTGTGGTGTAGCAGTACTTAATTGGGTTTTGGTACCAGACTGTACTGAAGCAGCAGTTAGCTTAATTTTTTTGCTTGAGGCTGATCCAATATCTGACACGGTCTGAGTTTTTAATGTGGTGCTTTGTTTCAAAGGTTTGCTAACAAAGGATGAAGAATCCAAAGTGACACGGCTCTGGGTGTTTAATTTTGATGGCCACTCCTGAGATTGGGTCTCAGTGGTAGTTAGAGCATCAGCAGCTGATTGGTCCAATTTATTTAGTAGCTGCTCTGCCTTACCTGTAATTCCTGATAACCAGGACATCACTGTAATTCATACCTGTGTGAAGAAAGAATCTTGTCAATAAATTTGAAATATGTTATCACACATAAAGCAAAATATACAAGAGACTGAATCGTTCACCTCTCAAAAATTCATCTTGTATTGCTGATCACGTTTGCTATTTTCAGTTTCTACATGTACAAATGATGTACCTACTGTGGATTTATTATTCGTGAGATACCAACTTTTCGTAGATTTTGTGGATACATGTATATGTAAACCATAAATTTCATTTTCCAACAAAATATAAATTATCTATAGGCTGTATGCACTTTGTAAAAACCTCAAAATCAAATAACCTTGAAATTTTATTTTTTCTCAATCTACGAAAATTTCTACCCAGGAATAAATTAAATCCACAGTACCTATCTGGAATCAGATCCCAGTTATAGGATACCTGTCCAGTACAGTACCCAGGAATGAAGTCCCATAATAATTTACCGTCTTTTAAATGGGATATTGTACCGAGATGAAAATTATGTAAAGGAGCTTAAATTTGTAGTATATTTAAAGGGTATTAATTAAACTTTCAACTCATTCTATTAAATTTTGTGATTCTGAAAAATATATGATGGATGATTGTCTGAGTTAATGGTTCAAATTTTATTTTCGATTTAAACCAGGAACTGAATAAAATGACCCTGTCAATACTCACAACAGTATTGCTCTCTGAAATGCCGGTTATGAACCTTCAAGAAGATTTTAAGAAACCATGAAGGGGGCTACAAAAATAAAATTGCATTGGACTAATGGAAGAAATAATTGGGCAACAGTTCCATCTACTGTTTTCTGTTTCTACATTTCTGATGTTTTACAGTTGCAACCAATCTGCTGTTTTTCCTTTCTACATATCAGACATTAACAAGATTGTGTCAATAGTACACAGATGCCCCACTCACACTATCATTTTCTATGTTCAGTGGACCGTGAAATTGGGGTGAAAACTCTAATTTGGCATTAAGATTAGAAAGATCATATCATAGGGAACATGTGTACTAAGTTTCAAGTTGAATGGACTTCAACTTCATCAAAAACTACCTTGACCAAAAACTTTAACCTGAAGCGGGACAGACGGACAGACGGACAGACGGACGGACGAACAGACAGAGGGACAGACAGACGAATGAACGGACGCAGACCGAAAAACATAATGCCCATAGGTGGGACATTAAAATATTATTGTAACTGACTGGAATTAAATACAATTAATTATGCATGTAATTGTATGTGATTTGTAATTGAGTACTTTTCTAATAACAAGTAATTGAAAGTAATTATTTACATCGAAAATAGAGTGCACATGCTAAAATGTCTCGCCTGCTTTATTTACATTACTTATCATAATTGAATTTATGTTGAAAGTCTGAAATATGTAAGGAGTATCAGATAAACTTAAAGTCATATGATACTTCAAATTAAAATAAATGGAGAATGTGTCTATGGGCCACAGATGCCCCCGCTTGTAAACAAGCATTAGTCAATGTACTAATTATTGACATTTTCTTTTCTTTGAAAGTTAATGACATATATTTCTACATATTGTCATTAAAAATTGCTCGCAGGTTTGAGTGCTGTCATTGTTCAATAACAAAAATTAATTAAGGATGTTGTTTGTTTTTGTAAAGGGGCCATAACTCAAGAACGGTACAAGTGACGCCACCCATTTTCAAACTTGATCTGTGTTTTGTGATAAAAAGCATTGTGTATAAGTTTCATAACATTTGGTCGAGGCAAACTAAAGTTAGAGAACGGAAACGTCAGATTTAGCAATTTTTCCATTTATACAGGGGCATAACTCAAGAACGGTAAAAGTGACGCCACCTAATTTCTAACTTAATCTGTGTTTTGTGGTAATAAGCATTGTGTATAAGTTTTATAACATTTGGTTGAGGCAAACTAAAGTGAGAACAGAAACCAATTTTGGGGACGTACGCAACGGACGGATGGACAAGGGTAACACTTAATGCCCCCTTCGCCTATTGGTGGGGGCATAAAAAAGTTGAATATGTTTTATATACTTTAATGGCTAAGTTTTACTATAAAACACATGTACATGGACTTTCTTTTAAAAGAAAATCCTTTATCTTATCAAAATCTCCATAAATGTACTGCTATGGAATAATTGTCTTCCTGTACTCCAATTCACAGATAGCTTTTCCGTATGCAGTGACCTTAACTACAAGACCTTTTGTTAGTACTTCGGCAATAGCACCTACAAAGTGCGAGGGAAAACCCATGATGAAAGAAAAGGTAAACAAACGTGGAAGTTTAGTGTTAATGAATTCTAAAGAAATATTTTTAAAATACATCAAATCATTTAACAGCAGCTGCTATATGTGAAAGTTTAATCAACAAATAGAAATGCATGGAAAATATAAAAAAAAATATTAATCATCTATTCAATGTCTATCAGCTCACTTATTTTTCATGTGCATGATTCTGTGTTGATTATTTATTAAGGTCAGGTTCGGTAAACTTCAAACGAAACGCGAAAGTTAATAAGCAGGCAAAGTTTTCACTGAATGGAATTTTTTTTTTGGTGAATTACCGGTTTATGTTAAGGATTTGTAATAAATGTAAATCAAAAGGTGTTAGCACTGGAAAAGGCATTTGCCATATACATGTACAAAGAAATATGCATGTGTGAAAGTGTTCCCCTTTTTTAGAACAAATACAAGACTGGTTCTGTTATCACAACTCTCGAAATAATTTCATACCAATTATCATCAGTAAAATAATTATCAGGTATGTTCAAACATTTTTACCTGTAACAGGCTATTATTTCAACTTGGAATTATTTTTAATTATGGAATTTGCATAATTCCTTGTGCTTGAAATTTTTAATAAATTCCATGTTTATTCTGTATTTTAATGTTCTGTGCGGTGTACAACACTTTCTATTACAAAGAAGATAGCAAATTTTCAATAGGATGTACTGTGCGGCGCAAAACACTATCTATACAAAATAAATTGTATGGAAAGTGTAATGCACCTCTCAAAACATTCTCCAGAGATTGACAAATTTGGGCTCCAATGGAACTGGTGAAGCCAATTTTATTACCACAAATTATAGTATTTTTAAAAACAGCAGACAACTTAAAATTTTTCAGAGTTTCACCAAATTACTAAACATTTTTTCCATGAATTTCTGTGGTGAAAAAGGGTGTACTGATCATTTACACGTATGAAAAGGGATTGCAACATTTATTAATAAATTAGTGTTAAAGATAAGCCAAAACCACAATAATAAAATGCACCGTTGGGCGCAGCTTGATATGACTGCAGAGGTCGAACCCTGAACAGTTGGGGCAAGTATGGACACTACATTCAAGCTTGATACAGCTCTGGATTTGGATTGTGATTAAACATTTGACACAACATAGGTTGCTTACATAGAATGAATGTGGTCAAAGAACTGAAAATTTTAAAATTGGGACTTTTACCTATCATGGTCCAATATCCAAAATCTAAATACACAGATTCAACATATCAAAGAATCCCAAGAATTCAATTTTTGTTTGGAATCAAACAAAGTTTAATTTTGGACCCTTTGGACATCAATGTGGACCAATTTGATAAAGGGGCCCAAAATTGAAAAGCTAAATACAGTTAGATTCAGCATATCAAAGAACCCCATATATTCAATTTTTGTTTAAATCAAACAAACTTTAATTTTGGATCCCCATTTAGACCAACTTGAAAACTTGGCCCAAAATCAAAAATCTAAATACATGTTTAGATTCAGTATATCAAAGAACCCCTTGAATTCAGTTTTTCATAAAATCAAAATAAGTTTAATTTTGGACTATGTGGACCAATTTGAAAACAGGTCACAAATTAAAAAATTCAAATACACAGTTAGATTCAGCATGTCAAAGAATCCCAAGAATTAAATTATTTAAAAATCAAACAAAGTTTAATTTTGGACCCTTTGGGCGTTAATGTGAACCAATTTGAAAGAGGGTCCCAAAATTAAAATCTAGATACATGCACTGTGAAGTCCGCTTACTAGATGTACAGTATAGCGGGCCGCTCAATTGTAACGTCACTATCGTTGATGTACTTCCTGTAGCTTTCTCAATACATTCATCAAACTAGCAAGACGTCTGTTCTTTAGTTCATGCCATTATACGATATCTTAGCCACTATACCCAATATTGGTGCCTTGACCAGATGAAATAATTGGAAGCCAAGTTGAAAGCCATACAAGCGGGACACAAAGGTGCAGTTACGAAACTCCTGAAGAAATTTGAAGAAATTCAGCAAAGTTCCGACGCGGAGGAAATTTCAACGTTACTTGAAGCTGTCACACAGAAGAAAAGAACTTTAGAGAACATCAACATGAATCATAGAGCAGATGAAGATGTAGCAGTGGAAATACAGGACTCAGATGAGTACATGTTCAATTTAGAATATAAACTTTGGCAGATTGCAAAATTAGCAAAATCATTTCAAAATCAGAGTTTACCCGCAAATGAATCAATTTCATTGAATTTGAACTCTCATGCCGATAGTTTTATACCACATACACAATCTGTTCCATCTACATGTATCAGCCAACCCTCAACAACAGCAAACCAACAATTAACACACACCACAAATTCATGCTCATCGTCTAGCACTAACAGCGAGTATCACAAGCTACCAAAGTTAAACTTACCTATATTTACTGGAGATATACTAGACTGGCAATCCTTTTGGGACTCCTATGAGACAGCGATCCACACAAATCCTACACTGAGTGATGTACAAAAATTCAACAACTTAAAGTCCCTTCTACAAAGCGAATCGTTACAAACTATAACAGGTTTGTCCATGACGAACACAAATTACGAGAAAGCAATATCATTACTCCAAGAAAGATACGGACAAACTCACAAAACTGTCCAAACCTACATGCAGGCCCTACTTGATTTACAGGCTCCAATTCATACAATTACTAGCCTCCGTTGGTACTATGATAAGACAGAAACTTATGTAAGAGGTCTCGAGTCACT